GGGATGCTCTTTCCCTCTCTCTCTGCCCTCCCCTGGTCATGCATGATCTAATTTCTCTCCCCAAATAAATAAACTTGAAAAAAAATAATAAGAAAACTAGGATTTAGGCTTAAAATATATGAAGACATAAAGTATACCAGGTTTATAGTACAGTGGAATTCTGTGACTTTAATGCCAACATTACTATGTCCCTTTCTGAGAATTTCATTTTACTTAAAGCAAATTTTTTGGAAGGAAAGGAATATTTTTATTTATTCCTAGAGAACAGAAGAAAAATGGTCTTCCTGAAAAGTAACTTGTAATAATAACTAATATAATGTGGACCATCTCATTTAGTCCTTCTAGAAATCTTAAAAGAGGATTTTATTATTATCCTCATTTTATGTATACATATGAAAACTGCAAATTCAAAAGGTGAAATCAGGATTTCCAAGCTAACAGAGCTGTTAGGTGTGGCAGCTGGATACGAATGCAAAGAAACGTCCAACTACTGAAAGAGGGGACAAAGATATTTTGAAAAGGACAAATAAATTTAACAGGAGAAGAAAAGCAAAAGTTCTAAACTTCAGTAGTTTCTTGCAAGTTATTTTTGAAGCACTTTTCTTAAGTTTTTAAATATTAGTCAAAAGTTGGTCTTTTAACAGAAATATGCCCTTGGTTTCTATATTTCTGAGATAAAGAAATATATAAGATTAGTGAAGTCATTAGAGGTATGCTAACATCTCCTGTCAGGCTAAGATTAAATGAATTTGTTTCGTCTTTTCACCCTCTGAAGGTCATACTTAAAACCTCAAAAGAGAATGAAATTCTGTGGTTTAAATTCAAAAATTTGTGATTTGTGGGGCGTCTGGGTGGCTTAGTCAGTTGATCGTCTGACTTTCGCTTGGGTCATGATCTCGCGGTTCGTGGGTTCGGGCCCCGCGTCGGGCTCTGTGCTGACGGCCAGCTCAGAGCCTGGAGCCTGTTTCAGTCTGTGGCTCCCTCTCTCTCTGACCCTCCCCTGCTCGCACGCTCTCTCTCTCTCTCTCTCTCCTAGAAACAAATAAAACACTAAAAAAAAAATTTGTGATTTGTTTTACTCTACCTACCATCTGTAAATACATTGTATTTCTTATATTCAAGGCAACATTCATTGGTTATTTAAATAAACAAACCAGAAAATGTTCTTATGAGCTTATTTATTCCTTACATTATAAAAACACTCCAATTATAATTACGCTATACTATTCTTCCTTTGGAACATTCAGTACTGTGTTAAATCAAATAAGGTCTGAGGATAAAGAAACCTGTTTGCATCTTATATGTATTCATAAAATATGCTTGAATTTTTTTCTAGGTGCTTTTAACTGTTTTAAAATTTTACATGTATTTATTTTTATTTGCCCAGTTATAGAAAGATATTGAATAAGTCCTAATGGGTGTCTTAGATGGAAGAATCTATACCGTGTATTTGAATGTTAATCTGACTTAGCCATTTGACAGTTTCATCCCTGTGAATTTTCCCACAGACCTGATCATCTCATTCCCAGACCCCCAATTTTAGCTGTTTTCTGTGACACCTTCACCTCTGCAGACGTCCTTCCTATGTAGGGCCTTTCTAGGTGTAAGTGTTTGGTTCTGCATCTTGTGCACATTTCTCTATTTTATGATCATATTCAATGTAATGGATTTTGTGGTCATTTGGAGAAACATTTCCAAATGTGATTCTTTTGTCCATTCATGTTCTTGCCAAAGCAGTGGGCCTTACGCCACCTCCCGGGATTGAGCCCCTCTTCCTCTGGAGGCAGAACAGAACCTTGAATGAGGGGTTATGAAGGAAGGTGAGTCCTGGGTACGATGGGATGCCACTGCATGGTCCCTGCCCCAACTGTGTGCTTGACCCCTTCTTGGCTTGGTAAAGACTTAATGAAGGAGCTAATATCTAGAAAAAAGGAGGGCAGTCCAGGCAGAAAGCACAGCATGGGAACACATGCTGACCTGGAATTAAAGCTGAGCCTGGAAGCTACAAGTAGAGTCTCTGTCCCTGGCCTGTAAGATGCAGGGGCAGGGGCTGAGATGAGACTGTAAAGCCAAGTAAGAATTGGCCATGAGCCAACGGGCCTCCCATGTCTAGCAAAGGAAGGCTTCGGATATGGAAATGTGTGTCTGGTATGAAGATCATGCTTGCAGCCAAGTAGGGAGCAAACACTAAGAGAGAATCTAGGTCTAATTTATTGTCTTTCTACATGTGACTAGCACAGATATGTACACACAGTAGACATTCAATAGTTATTTGCTGAAATGAATGATCCTAAACCAAGCTCATGATCATTTCAAAATGAGGCATTTTTAGCAAATGCAGACAATCCTCAGATTATGAACTGACTGCATTCTAGAAGTTAATTTGCAAGTCAGTAGTTTGGCACAAAGTTTTTTGTGTAAGTACTGAAACATGTTCATTATGGTCCTGAGCTACTTTTTAGGCTAGGCACTGTTCTAGGAAAAGAAAATTCCAAATGAAATTCTGACTCTAACTCTTTCTACTGTGGCACTGGAAGGGCTGGGTAATGGAATCTAGTTAATAAACCAGATATACTTCCCTACCTCCTGAAGAAAATGCAGTTCCTGTAAAAAGGATGGACGAACACACACAGACACAAACACATACACACAAACACCAAGCATACACTAAAACGCAACTTAGAACAACCAATATCCTCATTTTCTGAATTTGGTCAGCTCCAGCGGAATGAAAGGCCCCAGACCTGGGCCCCAATGAATCCCAATTGACTGCAAATCAGGCGGTGCTCAGAGCCTCACGCCACCTGCCACAGAACTGGGATTCCTTAAAACAACAACATCTAAGAGGTAGGCCACACACCATGTGCTTAGGTTACACAAAGATGAACAAGAAATAGACTCTATCCTGGAAAAAAGGCAGGTGCTCACATGGGAGAGAGAAGTATTGACAGCTGTACCTCAGGGGCCAGGGCTATAATGGGGAAAGTGTCCTGTTAACCCTTCCCAGAGTTATCAAAGAAGGCTTCCCAGAGAAGAAGATGTTTGAGGTGACTCTGAAGGCTAAGTGGGTGTTTCCCCGATGGTTAAGAAGTTTGCGGAAGTTACATTATGGTCATAGCTGGGATGCTTCTGAGGAACTGCAGTCGGCGGGTCTGCAGCACTGGAAGCATCTGTCATGGGGGAGGGGGCAGGAGTCAGATTAGGAAAACAGTCTTATACATGATGCTTCGTGCTTGAACTTAATCACTGCGAAAGGAACAGTGTTATGGATGGCGCAGTCCCACGGAATGCCGACGCTTCAGGGACAGGCAGACACAGTTAAGTACTTGCTGAAGTACACAGAAGCTAAAGTTCTTGCTTTAAAAAAGCAAGTCAGCTTTGGCACCGGCATTCAAAAGATTCGCTGTATCTTGAAACCCGACAACTGCAGGACTAAGAAATTTCTCATGATCACAAACGCTAAATCAGAAGTAAAATCATCAGGCACTCTTAAAAGCTCAAAAAGATGTAGTCATAAATATAAATTCCCGTAAATCCCCTGACCAGGTCTCTACATAAATAAACTGGAAAAATCAAAGCATAGTTTTGTAGATAAAGGAGTTATCTGCACTCTGTTGTTCTGCTTTCTATCTGCTTTTTTAAAAAATGTTTATTTTTGAGAAAGACACAGAGAGAGAGAGCAAAAACAGGGGAGAGGCAGAGAGAGGGAGACACCGAATCGAAAGCAGGCTCCAGGTTCCGAGTGGTCAGCACAGAGCCTGATGTGGGGCTCGAACCTACAAACTGTGAGACTATGACCTGAGCCGAAGTTGAACGCTTAACTGACTGAGCCACCCAGGTGCCCCGGCCTTCCATCTGTTTTTAAATCACAACTAAGACAAATTAATCTATTATCTGCTGAACAGAAGCAAATGCATTTGTCTAGAAAGCAGCATGGATTTCAGTAATAGACAGTAATGAACAGTTGTAAAGGGAAGATACTCTAATCTTGCTTCAAAACTTTTTTTTTTTTTACAACCTATAACTCCATCTAAAAAAACTAAAGTGGACTGATGATATATTATATATGACTACAAGGAAGTGCAGGAAATAAGAGTCTTTTCAGCACATGACTGAAGGTGATAGATGACAGATGTGGTCCATTTTGTAATGCATGGAGACCTATTCTGATCTTGGAAATACTGAGCTGCAGGACATGGCCAGAGACAACCTGAGTCTGCCCTCTATTCACAATCAACATGTATTGCTCTCTTACACTTACATTAAAAATTCAAAAGGAGAATTGCAGTAAAACTATCGATATGATCAAAAGCAGCAGCACAAATCATTTTACTTCAAAACTGAAGTATTAAATGTAACAGGACTCTTGGTCAGTAATGAAATAAAAGAATGCCGTAATAATTTTGACGGCGGAAATCATATCTGTTATATTCAACAGAGAATTAGCTGCCTCTTGCAGAAGCTCTTAAAACTCCTCAACTAGACAAGTATTTAAATCACTTACATAATATTTAATTTAGCTCCTCTTCCTACTAATTTCATTTGATGGAACTCTCTAGTCATTGGGTAGGCACTGGATTCTCAATGTTTGTGGGATTCAAAGGGTATGGTGTCAGGAAAATGAAAGTGAACTATTATTACATTCATCAGTGCTAATAAATGAAATTAGAATACACTAAAATGTTGTTAGTCTACTTATTACTTATAATCTAGGGGAAAAAAAAACTTTTGGAGACAGTGTGGCCAATGCTGATAACATATATGAATGTCATTTACAAATACAGTATATTAGTTGATAGACCTGTTTTTTGGCCCACCAAAGCAATTAAATCTGTTCTGTTACTGAAGCTACATTTGCTTCAACACAAAGATAAGCTTGAAAAAAATCAAGTGTGTTTTAATGAACTACAGAGCTGTATTCTAAACACTGTGCTCTATGTATGGCTGACGATTAGCATAAAATAAAGACCCTTATAAGGAAAGCGAGCCTGTGTTTGCACCTCATTAATGAAGTCCCCGATGTCCCCAGGATGTGGGGCTGCAGATCGGACTGGGTACTGGGGCTCGGCATGGATGGGTCTCTCATCCAATCGTCGGATTCCTACAGGCTTAATGGCATCAGGTTCCACGGTATCAGGCTGCTGGAGCTGGCTCAAGTCATAATCCTGCAAAAGACAAAATCAAACTCATGGTAGATGGGCATAAAGATAGAAAATTACAACCTTTGTTTTTAAACACATACCCAGAATGCATAGAAATGAGTGAAATTTAACATAATGGAAAAGTTGCCACCATGAGTTTTTCATGTTATGATTAAATATTTCTTTCACACAGCTCTTTCTTCTGTGCTTTTCATTTCTACAGTCTGTGCTCCATCTGCTTTCCTATGTTTCTCATCAGTTTCCAATGGAAAACAGCAGTGAGATGAGGCTCCACTATAAAATGATGAAAAACTGTCTAGAAGATGGAGTTGTACCACAGAAGCAAAGGCACTAACTTAAGGTGAGTGGGGGGCTCAGGACACACTCCCCTAACTCGGAGCACCTTAGCATATTACATGTCTCAACTTGAAGGAATTCAAAAACCCAACAGCAGAGTTACAAGGTCACTCTAACCCCCCTCATTTTGCCCTTCTTCCTTGAAACAGGCCATAAAACCCCCATGTGAAAGGCCCTCTCCCTATACTGGGAGGAGGGAAGACATTCTTATCATCAGAGACAGAGAATTTCGGGACCAAGAAATCTGTACAAACAAGCTTTGTTAAACTAACCTTTGTTTCCGTAGTTACTTCTTCACCGTTTTCTAGCCCTAGCCCAAACCCTTGGTCTCGTCAGTCCTTAGAAAGTTACTGTTTCTTTGTCTAAAAGTATATAAGGTGCCCACTCTGGACACTTCTTTGGGTCTTCAGACTCTTGGGAAGCTCCCATGTACATGTAAAAGTTTAATAGGATGTATATGCTTTTTTCCTGTTAATCTGTCTCTGTTAGTTTAATTTTCAGACCGACTCTGGGACCCTAAGAGGATGGAGGAAGACATTTTCCTCTTATAATACCTTTAATATGAAAAACAAATGATGCAGATGTGTTTTCCTTTTCCTTAGAGTAAGGCATTAGTTCATCAGGGTTTCAAAACCAGTCTCCATTCCTCCCTCCCTTCAGTGGTCTAAAGTAGGCAAACTACCGTCTGTGGGCCCAGCCAGACCCATTTCCTATTTTTCTCGAAGAACGGCTTTTACAGTTTTAAAGGAATATTTAAAAAGCAGTAATAACAAATTAGAAGAATATGCCACAGAAATGCTCTGTGGCCTACAGAGCCTTACTATCAGGCCTTTCACAGAAAGTCTGCCAATCTCTGGCCCAGCAGCGCGAGGTCAGGGAGAGGGGTTTCCCTCCCAACACAGCCCTGGGGGAATGTCCTGGAAAAATCAGCCCGTCCACTTTCAGACAGGCACAGTCGAACTTGTGAAGAAGGATGCTCCAGGCATAGGTTGGGCCCTCAGAACTATTTTCGGCTTTAACATCAGGCAGCTAAACAGGAATAAAGAAGCGGACTATAATGGAAATGCATCAGAATATTTGGTTTGGGCAGATACTTTGTAGTTTTCAAACCCCTAAATCCTGATGATAGAAAATTCTCCAATTTAATGTTGACATTTACAGAGAGTGCAGACTTTCTGGGGCTCTTCATCGTTTAGGCTTCATCTTTTTGTCTAAAACCAGCTTAAAACCATTTGTAGTATCTCTATAGTGGTTTTTATTTATTCAACACTTGAATACTTACCATGTACTGGCATTGTAGATACTTTACATATGTTTGCTCATTTAATCCTCTGATCAGTACTGTTTGATGTTAAGTTTTATTATCCCCATTTAAGAGTTGAGATATTGAGTCTCAAACAACCCAAGTAACCAGCCCCCAGTCCCAGATCTACTAAGACTCAGAGACAGGCTCTGACTTGATGCATGTTAGACTGACTTCAAAGTGTAGCTCTTTGACAGTCATGTAGGAGAGTGAGTCATGTCCAAACTACAAGGCCAGAGTTAAACAGTGATGAACGAGACAGATAAGTGTGGAGGGCAGGAACGTGAGGGATGATGAAAGTAACAAAGGAGACCAAGGGGAGGAAGGTCACTGGCATTCACACCCGCTATGTATCAGGCACTCATGATAGCAGCCTCTTGAGAATGTCTTCTCACAGATACTTTCTAACAAGCCTGTGGAGGATGTTTAATTATTGTCTTTTTAGGTGACGAAACAGATCAGAGAGCCTGAGTAACTCACCCTGGGTCCCACATCTAGTCTGTGATTAGGATGGGATTCAAAACTAGGTGTGTCAGACTACACACTGTCAATCCACAAAGTAACTCTCTGCTCCCTGAGACGCTCTCATCCTGACCACCCTCCCCTAAAAATCTCCTTACCAAGAGGTTCAGCTACCCTACCTGCTGAAGGCACTGAGGAAAAGCTCCTCCTCTTGGGAGGGGGCAGGAGGAAACTGGGGGTGAAGCAGGCACACAGGGCAAGACGAGCCACCATGGCATGTAAACTTGCTAAACCGCTAAGAAATAAAATGCTCGGAGGAGAAAACTTGCGTTAGATTTGAACCCTGAACAATCCATGCGCTAGGGAGAAAGGACCTCTGGGATTTCTAACAATGTGAGCAAAGGCATGGGGATGTTGCTTTTCTTGTCAGGATAGAATACCTCAGATTATCTATACAAAACTTCAGTGAAAACATCTCGAGAGTGCACAAATGTGCTCCACTTTAGATTTTATAGAATTTATGAGTAATTTATACACTATCTTGAAGACATACAATGATAAAACAGATGTGAAGGCCTTTGAAATGCTAAAATGTCATACAAAATAAAAACAGGGATTTATTTAGAGACTTCTGAATGCTCACACAACAAGAAGCATGTTTTTCTGCGCGATGTTTAACTGCAGAACTATCAAGCATAAGAGTGTGAATAACTCTGCCTTCTGACAATTATCCAAGTTTTATATAGAAAGGGAAAAACAAGGGCACTTGGGTGGTTCAACTGGGCAAGCCACTGATTTTAGTTCAGGTCATGATCTCTCATTGAGCCCCGTGTCAAGCCCCACCATCAGCGGGGGATTTGACAGCCTTGGGAATCTCTCTCCCCCTCTCTTTTTGGTCTTCCTCCACTTGCGCACACACACTCTCCCTCTGTCTCAAAATGAATAAGTAAACTTAAAAAAAAAAAAGAAAAAGAAAAAAGAAATAGGTTGTAAGTACACTGATCACAGTTAAATATTTTTATGCTAAGGGTGTAAAATACTTTATCAGAAGTCTGAATTACATGAAATTAAGTAATTGGATCTTATGGTTAAGGACTGTCTTTTACCAGGTAACAAACTGCCTGATACTCCTCAGTATTTTTTTTTTTTTTTTACTCCTCAGTATTTTATAGGATGGTTCTGTACAAGAGTACGGAGAATTCCTTGGCATAACTGGAGACAAAGCAGACATGCTGGCCTTGCTTGTGCTACTTCTTACCTGGAAAGAACCTGTGCTCCCTGCTTTCTTATACAGCTCCCACTATACCCAAGGGTTACAAAAACGAATGCATTTTGACAGGCCAGCAGTGTTGTAAAGATTTTTCTCATAAATTGCCAACATTCAGACACAGGGATAGTCCGCCTGAAAATGGAATGATCTGGCAAAATAGAGGTTAACTTCTGATATAATTTGTTACAGCTGATTGCAGCTGTCTCCTCTGGACAAGGACAGCACCTTCTCCTGGACTGCTTCCTGTATTAAGGATACATATAATCGCATATTAATCGATAAGTTTTTATTTTTCTTTTGATAGCCTTTTTTTCTACCATCTTAAGAACCAGATAGCAGGAAGAGTCTTAAAAGGGCTGTGGTCCTGTTCAGTCCTTTCCACTATCAAAATGGCAAACCCATAGGAAGTGCTCATTAAAGAATGTGTTGAATAAGGTCTCAGGGATGATATTCATGCCAGATGTTCAAAAGAGTAACTGATTCAAGAAGCGTGCCTTGGATCACATTGCACTCCATGGCAGGAATTCACAATGGGGAGGGAGGGGAAAGCCCCCCGTTCCATCAATGAGATTCACTGCCCTGGTGAATCCTCTGTAATGATGCAAACGTGTCACGTTCCTCAGCTTTGCTACTTTTGAAAAAAGGCAGAAAACTACTGACTTACAAGAAGCCAAGAAACTGGGTTAAAACGTGTGGCTTAATGTTTCTCTGAGATGGCTTCCCCCGTCTGTTACAAACATGGGATATATAAAAAAATCTGATAATGGTAGGAAGTAGGCAGAAGTGCCTTTGGGTCACAGGGACAGGTTTTTCTGTTCACATCCTCTGGTGTTGTATGGCAGAGGTCCTGACCTGAGGGTCCAATTGTAAACCTTTTGATAAGGGGTCATTCTATGCAAACCTCCTAAATTATACATCTTTACAATCCCATAATACTTTAGTTAAACACACAAATTACAACATGTAGGATGAGAATTATAAAGAGAATTACAGAGACCAAAAACATTCTCAAGGTCATTGGGTTCATGGTCTTACTTCTGAAGATTATAAAGAAACAATCCAGGGAGAAATCTTTATTTGGTTCCTAAAGCTCTCCAGAGAAAAAGTAGATCTGAAAATTCTCTTACGATTGTCAACCTTTCTTTGCAAAGTTAACTTCCTAAAGAAACCTAATTTTCAAGGCCAAGGAAGGCCAAGGAACATCTTATTTTAACTAATATTTGGAACACGTGTTACTTGGCAACACCCACTCATGGTAGGCATGGAATTATGGTTTTTAGAATGTTAACACTGCAAGCAACTAAAAACACTTTCTTTCCTCATCTATGTTTTAAAATGTCATAAGGGTGATACAATTATGGGAGAGTTAGTAAAAAGTCAGTTAGCAGCTAACACTCTGCTTTTGGCTTTTCGTGTTAAATTCCACTGACTTGCAATGCTTTATAATTGGTTCAGTAAAGGCACCATGAATCTACTCTAAGGCATTTTGTATGTTTCAATAAATTAAAATTCTGCTTGGTATAGATAGAAATTCTGGTATCTAGGTAAAAATTTCAAAAAGCTAAAAAGAAAAAAAAATCTAGAAAGCTATATTGCTGGAAGAATCTGTAGATTCGTGTAATTAAATCTGTT